AGGTAGAAAAGGCAAAAGAAAAAGGTGCTGCTAAAGACGCTGGAAAAGAAGGGGAAGTGGATGGAAAAAGTATTGAGCTAAAAAAGCCTGAAGACAAACTGACGTCTGTGGAGGGTCAGCAGTTGAATAACAATGAAGGCTTGCAGCCGACAACATTGAATGGACTTCATGGAGTTGAAACGACAACACCATCAAGAGAAATTTTGTCGGTTCGTGAAGATCAACAAGATTTGTCGAGTTCTCTGCTGCCTCCGTTACACAACACCTCACCGGGTGGAACTCCACCATCCACTCCTGCAGCTGGCCGTGCTGACACAAAAAGTCACGAAAACGACATTGGCAAGAAGAATTCTCAACAGTCTATGGTAGGAGACATTGGACAGAACAATGACACCGGCGAAAAAGCTGTCGCTTCAACGGGTGAAGAAGAAGGTTCACGATTTTCAGTCACGACAATTGAAGAAATGAGTGAGACAACAACGAAAGGCGACAGCGGCAGCACCGCGACAATTACAGCTATGGGGACTGAAATTGGCACAGAAGAAACTTCGCTCACCAACCATCCGAGCCAACCCTCCACTGAAGGCGCCAGAAAACCCGGAACGACTTCCGATGGTGAAGCCGCATCAGCCAACAAATACGACACGGTCTCTCAGAATGCAGGATCCACAACAGCGCAAACCACAAACGCCACAACAGGTGACACGGCGAAGAAAGGCGACAGCGACAGCAGCAGGACGGTCTCCCACACCACCTCCCCTCTTTTGCTTCTTCTTGTTGCGAGTGCTGCTACTGCGGCTGCGGTGGTGGCCGCGTGAGAGTGAGTGTGAGAGAGCCATGCACCGCCCGCACACACACTCTTCCTTCTCTCTCTGTGTGTGTGTGTCCCCTTGCATGGACTCTCGCCCTCACCTCACCCCACGAGGCGCACACAATAATGTGCCCATTGTATATATGCATGCACACCCATGCAGGCCCGTTGGTGCTCTCTTTTGCACGACACGCACCGCTGCCGTCCTGCCTGGCTGAATGGACGGAGCACCGTAACTGTTTCTGTTTTGTTTTTATTGCATTGAGTGGGCGACCTCTCTCTCTCTCCCTCTGTGTGTGTGTTTTGCTTTACGGGAGTAATGAGAGTGTGTGTGCGCTGGTCGTCCCACGCTTCGGCTTTTTGTTTTGTTTTCCTTTTTGATTTTGTGGTTGAGTGCACCCATTCCGCGGCTGCGTGTGTGTGTGTGTGTGTGCGATGATATGAGTAATTTGCGTGTGTGCTATCTGCCTCTCTCTGCCGTTGCTTTCTTCAGACTCTCTTGTGGCGCACAGCTGCTCCGCAAGTATAGGCGCTGCCAAACACACAAGCACATGCACACACACATGCCGTGTTTAAAACGCTGAGAATGCACGCACGCACAGGATTGTGGCTGCGGAGGCCCTCGCGAGGGGGGAAAAAGCCTGCATTTTGTTTTTTTTTGACATGTTGCTCGGTGTGTGCTGACGCGTGACGAATAACAACACGCCCCAATAAGCGGAAAAGAAGTAAAACAAAATGGCGCTGAGCGGCACACCGGTAAGCCAAAAATACGCAATCACCAATAAAAAAGCCGGCGATCACCCAGCAGGCACATCAAGCCTCATAAAAACCAACCTGGAACAGACAAAAAAAAAGAGACAATCATAGAAAACAAAGATCCCCGCCCCCAAACAGGAAAAACATTAAAGAAAACGCGATTCTTTTTTTTGTCCTTACTGCCGGGGTTGGCCGCTGCAAGAAATAAAAAATGGTAGGGCGGTGGCCCCGGACGTGGATACAACACG